TGGTCTTTATAAAACAATAAAACCATTTTTTTTAACCTTTGGCAGCTTAAAGTGGGGTGGACTTCACCCCCCAAATTTCCCCAGCCGGCAAGGGTGGCGGGGGAATTCTGGGAGTTGAAGTCCACCCATCTTCAAGCTGCCAAGCTTGAGGAATACTGAATACAAGCATGAATAGTGACTTTTAGGAACGGCAAGAACCATGGGAAGTGTAGTTCATAACACACAGCTTTTCCTCCCTAATTCTTCGCATGGGATTGGGGTTTTTCTGGTGGCTTCTCCAATTCGACATCATTCGATCCTGAATCAGCCGAAACAGGTCTCTTTGGCAGACGGAAAGCGCATTCTCGGGAACCCCTAAGACCGTTCCCAAAACATCTTGATCCAGGATTCCTGGGAAACTGACTTGGCCAGAGCAACTTCAAACGCCCCCCCTTTGAGGTCAGCTTCAGGCTTTGCCAAGCTGCCCCAAACACGGGCTTCCTTCACGGAGCTTGTGATGCCCAGAGTTCCTTCTTGCCTCTGTGTACATGTTAAGCATCAATGCCCAGTCCAGATTGGTATATCTGATGGGCCTAGATGAGCACCTTCCATTGTGAATTTCTTTGGGTGAAAGCTGAGCCTGGCGTCGAAAATCCAGCTGACCTCTTCCAATGCCTAGGGGGAGAGATTCAAAAGTCAGCCAGGATGTCCTGTGAAATGCGTTGCAATAAACAGACAAGCATTTATACTATAAGCAACTACCCATTTTTCCCCTTTTGTAATTATAGATGATCCAGGCTATTCAAGTTCTGAGATTCCACCTCCTGGAATTAGAAAAGGTAGGGATGCTCGTTCTCAGGTTTGCTTTACTTCCCTTCCCCTGCTTCCCTTCTCCCTACTAACCTGCAAAAATGAAATAAAAACAGGGCTGGCAATCTGGAAAACAAAGCTGGAAATCACTCCTGTTTTATTGGACTTTTCTTGGCAAGGTTTTTCAGAAGGGGTTTGCCCTTGCCTCCTTCCCAGGGCTGCGAGAGAGCGGCTGGCCCAGACTCACCCAGCTGGCTTTGTGCCTAAGGCAGGACTAGCACTCATGATCTTCTGGTTTGCGTTGGCCAAGTGATGTTTGCTCTAAGCAGCAAAGCCCTGAGCATAAATTGTGGTTCCCTGCAGGAACTCATTTAAGATTCTGCAAATGAGAAAAACTGGATTTTTCAGCCTGCACGTGTACGTGTTTTGCAAATTACATAATTTGGAAGGACATTTGCAATTTTACTGTTTCGTGCATTTTGGGGTGTTGGTGGAGAGCGGTCTGATTCTGCTGGCTAGGAGATGGGGGCGGTTTTCTATCCAGGCAATGGCCAAACCCCTGAAAATATTATTTAGCAGTACTGTCCTGCACTTGAGACCTCAGACGTACCTATCTGGCCACCATGAGGACTAGAACCTTTGCTTTTTCCTTTCTGCAAAAACCAAACAAGCAAACAGACCTCAGATGTTCCAGCAGTATCGAATAATGCCACATCTCCAGGCATTTTTCTGTCTTTCCGTAAAAGCGTAATCATCCCCTTGTCCTGAAAAAAATTTGTTTGAGGTCCCTTGGAACAGTGAAGGAAAGGACTCAGAATTTTATCTGGGAGTGGGGGAAATCTCAAATCCTGGAATTTAAGGCCAAACAAAAGCCAGCTATCCTCCAGCAAAACACAAAAGTTTGCAGATAATTTCCCTTTTTCCCTCGCAGCAGCAGCTGGCTCCAATTTTGAGCATCTCCTCCTAGGGAAGCAAGAGGGGGAGAAGTTTTAAAAACAGACTTTGAATCCAGGGGGCTAGATCTATAGGTCTGACACTAAACTCGGGGGGACCCAATGGAAGGCCACACCAGAAATGCTTCCCTGCTTTGTGCAAGACGTTCTGCGCGCAGGGCCTTGAGATCCAGAGGCGAAAAAAACATATGAGACAGCCCGTATTTATTTTATTATCCTGAGTTTGGTGCCATAATTCCACCCACCAATTTCCTAGCTACGCTGGCGCTTGGGTTTCCATCCGTGTCAGCCACCGCAGCCCGGGCAAGAGACGGGAGTTCAGAGCCAGTGCAAGCATATCCTGGGTTGCACGGCTCCGCTGGCGTGGCTCGGATGGCGCGGCCGTGCGCTGATGCTGGGTCCTGCAGAAGGGCTGCTGGTTGCTCCGATCCAGCTTCGCCTCCTGAGCTTTGCCGAAAGGGAAACTGACCCCACGCAGCAGCCACCGGGTTTCAAGGAGAGGCGAGGAGGACCTGCCATCCCTCTGTTTCTCATCCCCATCTTGCCCAAAGCTTTATTTCAGGCCTGGCCCAGGAATAAGGATCCATGTTAAGGCAGTGTTTTTCAACCTTGGCCACTTGAAGAGGGGTGGACTTCAACTCCCAGAA